TGTGGAGACACAATGATAGTGATTTAAGACCAAACGAATTGTGATTAAATGTTTTTTTGTATGTTTCATCATTTCTGTTCATTACACCTTTACTAGAAAGATAATTCACATCAAAAACAGTCCATCATTCACATAATCCAGATGCGCATGTTATGATATTTAATTAATAATCATCAATTTTATCTTCTAACAAATTAATGATCACTTTTTGTGCAGCTCTAGTGGGACTCCTAGCACCGGAACTCCTAGCACTGGAACTCCGAGCACCGGAACCCCAAGCACAGGGACTCCGACTACCGGAAACCCTACCACCGGGTTCCCATCAACCGGAAACCCTACGACCGGGACCCCATCCACCGGGACTAATACCGGAATGCCCAACACCGGGACTCCTTCTAATGGGATGCCAAATTCCGGCACGAACGGAATGCCAACTTCATCATCCTCTTCGGTGTTCCCGGGCACTACTCTTGGACCGACTGGGAGTGGCGGACTAGGCGATCCAAACACAGGAGAGAAGCTGTCAGTCAAAACTAACATGGCCCTCTTTTTACTAACCGGCGTAGCTATGCTTGTCATGAGGGTCTAGAAGACAAGATCGAAGACACACACACACGGTGGTTATGAGTTGAGATTTTGCCAACAGCTTACGGTTGCGCAAATCGGATAGAGCTACTACTATATATCGTTTTTTTCACTCTGTGTAGGGTTTGGAAATGGATTTCCTAATTAGGTTGGCCGAGAAGACATGCTCTGGTTAGTAGCTAAGTATTTTGGGATGTACAACTTAATCAAAGAGCTCTTTTTCTTTATTTTGTAAATCCGGAGGATTATATGCTCTTTTATTTCTATTCTTTTTTATCTTTTTAACTTCTTGAATCTTTTCATCTTTTATTTCCGTTATCACAATAACATAAATCCCGGTTACAAAGCTAAACAAAATGAATGCAAGTTGCAACTAAAAAATGTGAATCTTGTGAGGAATCATGAAGGAATGCAGAAACATTAGATAAAATATTAGTGGTGGTCTTTTTCACTGTGAGATTTGTAACAAAACAAGAGAGGAAGCATTTTATTTGCAGCTAACGATCAAAAAGACTCTCTCTTTCGTTATGGGTTTTGTTTTTGTTTTTCAAATCTGCTAACATCGTTGGAATTGGTGGAGACGTATGATCTTAACGTAATGATTGCGCATTTTGAGCAAGATTAGGTGTTTATACAAGAAATGGTATCGACTTTTGGCCTCCCATATTATTAAAATGTGAAGATCACTTTTGTTTGGAAAATTGGTCTTATGGGGACTGAGTTTTGGAATCGGGTACGGCTAGTAGTGGCCAAGAATCTGATACCCATCTCTTTCAAAAGCTGCTTTCTCTCATCCCTCCATTTTCAAGCTGATTCTTAAAGCTCCCTTGATTATTAGCAACAGAATATTTTTGTATCTCCTTTTTCTATTTTTAATAATCTCTGTCTACACCTTCCTCAAGTCATATAGACAGAGCAACTTCGGTTAATGATTTCTTAAAGTAATTATGGTAGGTAGCTCTCAAAATATCCTTTTTAGTTTTCAAATATGTACGCTACATCAAATACAACATTTTCTAAATGACTATCATCTCACTCGTAGTAGACTTTCAACTAGCACATTCATCATAGTTAGAAGTTCTGATTTGATATCAAGTTCACGATGATTTATCACTATTATCATTGTCACTATTAGGCAATTTATGGTTATGACTCTCTAATTTTGATGATTCCATATCAAGTTCACGATGATTCCATATCAAGTTTCCACAATGACCTCTATAGTTTTGAAATGTTTTAGTTTGGTGCAATATGATAGAATATTTTCTTAAATTAGTAGGACTCTATGTACTAAAAAAGCATAATGATTATTTGAGAACAAGTGAGGAAATTGTTGTCTTACGCGAAGAGTATTTTTATCATCTGCATTTTTGAAATCTCTTATAGAAAAATGGACTCAACATCTTTGATTCTGTTGCGTAACCAAACAAATCAAAACTAAAAGCAATATAATTCATATAAAATATAAATGAATTCATTGAAACTCTCAAAATTCAAAACATAATTTACTGTTTAAAATCAAATAATGAAAATCATATCTGAACTAAATCTAAAACCCTTAACAAAT